AATAGAACAAGATAAAAAGCATTAAAACATTTTAAAAGCACAACAGGCTTAATAACACAGAGCAGTTTAGGCACGGAAGCAGGATTCATACACCATCACTTAAAGACCAGCTCTCGGGGAACAGCTAGCTCAGCAGATGCCACATGATCGGAAGGTTGGGTGTTCAAATCCAACGAACAGAGGCTATCCTGGAATGGTAGCTGCCCACTGCATCACTGAGTGAATGGGTTAAATGCAGAGGACTAAGCATTTTCCTACAGGATTAATAATGTATACATAAACAATGAGATTCAAGATAAGGCAAATTCGATAATATTCGACACGTCTGAAAAGCAGAAATATCAGTAAAATACACAAGAAGTAATATGACTGAAATATTAATAAAATTAACTTCATATAATTGATGAATAGCACACTTTTGTGACATTTGTCAACACCATTAAAAAAGGGTCAACACCCTCAGACAAAAATCCTGATGGTGCTGACAAAATACAGACTCTCTCATAACACGTTTTTCTGACAGAAGCCATCGTGCATTTCATCGACTTTGGTGTTGACGCACTATGGTTGTGAGTTTTATCAGAAAGGTGTGTCATACATTGTGGTGGACAACGTCTTTAGGCCTTCCAGAACTCGGGTCACAGAGCCGTCGGGAACTGTGTTATTTGGAATAAAAGTACAATACATATCCCCAAACATCGCGCAGACGCCCCCTTTTTCTCCCAACAACATATCTAACACCATCCGATTTTGTACTGCCATTAAAGATGTTGGACCCAACTGTTCAGCAAGCCCTTACATTTAATGACAGCACAAAGATCAAATGTATACGAGATTGTGGACCCTTTAACGTAGTCCAACTCTATACCACCATAATAATCAAAACACTCATCTGATTTACCTGTTTCACTACGTTTGGTTCGCTTCACCGTGGCCTGTGATGGTGGAGTCCCCGGAGTGGACTCAGATCTGTCTCTGGGCAATTCACTTATAAGAAAAATCACAGTTACAATTACAACAGTCACACCTAACACTACCGTTTCTCTCCAATTCCCCCTCAACCAGCCTAGAGAAGTTGACATGAGTTAAATGTAGACAAAAGGCTCGTCTGTTTACATCTCGACCTCGCAGAAGGCTTCTCTGCAGAGCATCAAATCTGCATGGCAAAGTGACACACTTTAGGTGATCTTCATCCTTGGGAAAAGTGGTGTCAACTATTTCCCAGTCTCCTAG